CTGGAGCGGGGGCGCGGATCGCGCGGGATTGGGGAGGCGCGGCTCCTCGCGGCCGTCGACGACGCCGACGCGCGCGCCGACGCGGACGCCACCGCCGCCGCAGCCGCCGCCGCCGTCGTCGTCGTCGTCGCCGTCGTCGAGGAATCGGTGGCCCTCGGGGGCGCAACCAACGGGACGCGCGCGCGCGGGGCCGAACCAAATCTGGAGGAGGCCGAGCTCGCCGATCTCTCCGCCGGCGCTTCCCTTCTACATCAGAATTGTTTTTGACACGGGTGCGCCCTGGTTGCGGTCACATTGCGCCTCTGGAGCCCTCAAGCGACCCAATTTACGAAAGTTCGCGCCGCACGCATCGCGATTATCTTCTGTCCCTGCAGGAAATATGTATTACTTATCCACGTCCCTCCTTCTCCTCCCCATTCTCGACATTCGGAAGGGGACAGCTGCTGGCGGAGACAGAAGGATGGAGAGAGGAGACAGTCAGAGCGAGAGAGAGCGAGAGATAGAGAGCGAGCAAAAGGACGGAGAGATGAAAGGATGACAAATGGAGAGCAGACAATCCACCCTCATAATAATCACCCAAATAAGGAATCGTAAAGGGCAAAACTATTGAGTAAACGCCCAAGGCCGTTCAGTAAACGCCAATTATCAGGTCCGGGTGGCTTTTTCCCCGTTGAATAAACATCAGCAAAGAACCCCGAGGGGAGGTGAGAAGGGACGGGTTCGGAAGGCCTCCGGCTTTATGGGGAATTTCTAAGCCTTTCGCGGAGACACAAACATGAGCGACCCACGAACCCGGAAAGGAATATAGAAATGTAAGGCATGCCAACGTTTTCAAAAACACCTGATTGGGCGACGGGCAAATGCAATGCTGAATGTATCGATCTTGATGTACCGTGCCAAGGGCTGTGCTGTGCTGCGCCGTGCTGAATTGCGATGTGCCATGCCGCGGTTGTGCTCTGTAGCGGCGTGGCTCGAGTCCTCCTTTGCATCCGAGTCCTGACTCCTGACCGAACTGATCTTGATCTTAAGCTCGAGCTGCCTGAGCACATAGTAGCTGCCCCGGATCTACTTTACGGGGGGGCATGACAGGAAGATGCGCCGCGGAACGTCCCAAAGGACGCACCAAGCGACGTGCCAAAGGACGTGCCATGGGAACGCACCGCAAAACGTGCCAAGAGGGCGCGCTACGGAACGTGCCAATGGACGTCCCACGGGACGTGCCAAAGGACGCGCCGCGAGACGTGCCAAAGGGGACTCGCCACGGGACGCGCCACGGAAAATGCCAAGTTGAATGCTGAATGTATCGATCTTGATGTACCGTGCCAGAGGCTGTGCTGCGCTGCGCCGTGCTGGATTGCGATGTGTCATGCCGCGGTTGTGCTCTGTAGCGGTGTGGATCGAGTCCTCCTTTGCATCCGAGTCCTGACCGAACTGATCTTGATCTCAAGCTCTAGCTGCCTGAGCATACCGTAGCTGCCCCAGAGCCACTTGGCAGGGGGGCATGACAGGAAGACGCGCCGCGGAACGTCCCAAAAGACGCACCAAGCGACGTGCCAAGGGACGTGCCATGGGGATGCACCGCAAGACGTGCCGAGGGGACGCGCTATGGAACGTGCCAATGGACGTGCCACGATGTGCCAAGGGACGCGCCGCGCGACGTGCCCAAATGACTCGCCACGGGACGCGCCACGGAACGTGCCAAGGACCGTGCCAAGCGACTCACCAGGGAACGTGCCAAGGAACGCGTCAAGGAACGTGCCACGGGACGTCCGTGACCCAGAGCCAAGGTCCATCGTAAAGTACGCTGCGTCCACGCTCCCAAAGCAACAATTCATCGTACATTATTCTGCGTCCGCGCTCCCAAAACTACGATCCCCCGTGCATTACGTTGGGGGCGCCATCCCTGGGCCACGATCCCTGGTAAACTACGCTGCGTCCGCGGTCCCAAGGCCGCGCTCCTTTGTGAATTACGCTGTGTCCGCGCTCCCAGGGCCACGTTCCCTAGTAATTTACGCTGTGTCCGCCCCCCCCAGGGCCAGGATCCCTTGTAAATTACACCGCGTCCGCGCTCCCAAGGCCACGATCCCTTGTAAATTACGCTGCGTCCGCCCTCCCTGGGCCACGATTCCTTGTAAACTACGCTGCGTCCGCGGTCCTTTGTGAATTACGCTGTGTCCGCGCTCCCAGGGCGTTCTCTAGTAAATTACGCGGTGTCCGCACCCTCAGGGCCACGGTCCCTCGTAACTTACGCTGCGTCCGCGCTCCCAAGGCCGCGCTCCCTCGTAAATTACGCTGCGTCCGCGCTCCCAGGGCCACGATCCACCTAAACGATACTGCGTCCGCGCTCCCTAGGCCACGATCCCTTGTAAATTACGCTGCGTCCGCCCTCCCTGGGCCACGATCCCGATCCCTTGTAAGCTACGCTGCGTCCGCGCTTCCAGGGCTGCGCTGGCTCGTAAATTATGCTGCGTCCGCGCTCATGGGGCCACGTTCCTTAACATTATGCTGTTTTCGGACTCCCAGAACCAACTGGGCATCCTAGGGCGCCCAGGCCGCTCGAGTTCCGCAAAGCAAGCGTTTCGCTCGAGACATCCTCTAAGTATCTCGCTCGAGACATCCTCAAGGCCTGGGCACGTGAAAACAAGCATTTCACCTGAGACATCCTCCGAGTTCTGGTCCGTAGAAGAGGAACAACCTATAGCATGAAACAAACATTTCGCTCGAGACACCCTCAACACATTATGCAAAACAACCGTTTCGCTAGGGACGTCCTCCAAATTCAATTACGCCGGCCCTGCGCGACCTCGTTATTGATCGCAGAATGCCGGCCCTACGCCCGTCGATTCTGGGAATAAACAACTAAACAGAGAACCCTGGGCCCGCGACCTTTCCGGGAAAACGTTCTCAGGAGGCTAGTGGGCTTCTGAGAAGCGCCGCTGCCTTCTGAGAGGGTCTTCTCCTCCTCGCTTTCCGCCCTCGCTCGCCGCCGAGAAGATGAGGACTAGAGTGAGCCTTATATGTGTCAACGATACTGCCATACACCCCGTCCCAATCTCCGACAAACATGTCGTGCTACTAAACTCGGCGCCTTCTTGAAATGCGAAGCGCTCCTCGTTTTTGTAGCAATGCGATGTAAAGGCCTATCGCTGTCTTTGCCCTGCCTTCTGGCACTGCCTGGCAGGCGCACCCCTGAGATGATCACACAGTAGGGGCCCGACCACGAGAAACCTTCCACAAGAAGTCCAACCTTGAGACCCCAGGATGTCATCGATGTTTGGTGTGAACAACGCCACGCTTTCCATAGCAAAACCATCGAAACCCAGGAAGCCCAGGGCACCCTGGAGGCGAGCAGGGTGCTTCTTGGCATGGGCCCCCCACTGCAGGTGCGGGCCTCGGGGCAACTCCGAGTGACGTCTTTCCCCAACATGCAGAGAAAACCAGAAGAACCCACTCAGGAGGTTTGGTGTGAAAACCGCCACGCTTTCCATAGCAAAGCCATCAAAGCCCAAGAAACCCAGGGCTCCCTGGAGGCGAGCAGGGTGCTTCTTGGCATGGGCCCCCCACCGTAGGTGCGGGCCTCGGGGCCACTCCGAGCGACGCTTGTTCCCCACATTCAAAGGAAACGAGAAGAAACCACTCAGGAGGTTTGGTGTGCAAACGCCACGCTTTCCATCGCACAACCATCGAAGCCCAGGAAGCCCAGGCACCCTGGAGGCGAGCAGGGTGCTTCTTGGCATGGGCCCCCCACTGCAGGTGCAGGCCTCGGGGCCCTGTCGCTGCACGGGGCGCCCGCTTGAGCACACGAGCGCCCCTGTGTGCCCGCAATTCGCGCGGGAGCTCCGTGCCGAAGAAGAGCAGCCCTCCGTCCTTCGAGCTATGAGCTGCTGTTCCTCACATCCTGAGTGGGTCCTTCTCGTTCTCGCTGCATGCGGGGAACACGATCGACCCCCGAACCCGGAAAGGAATCTAGACATCTAAGGCACGGCAGCGCTTCAAAGACACCTGAGTGGACGACGTGCAACTGCAATGCTGAATGTACCGAACTTGATGTACATCACCGAAGGGTGTGCTGTGCTGCGCCGTGCTGAATTGCGATGTGCCATGCCGCGATTGTGAAATGTAGTGTTGTGGATCGGGTCCTCCTTTGCATCCGAGTCCTGACCGAACTGATATGGATCTTAAGCTTGAGCTGCCTGAGCACATAGTAGCTGCCCCACAACTAATTGACAAGAGGACATGCTAGGAGGACGCGCCGCGGAACGTCCCAAGGGTCGCACCAAGCGACGTGCCAGGGGACGTGCCATGGGGACGCACCGCGGGACGTGCCAAAAAGGAAGCGCTACGGAACGTGCCGATGGACGTGCCACGGGACGCGCCACGGAACGTGCCAGGGAACGTGCGAGGCGACATGCCAGGGGGCATACGCGTCGTTTGAGCTCGGGACAACCATGTTATATACCCTCCTGTGTGGGACGTGGTTCCAGCGCGGGACCGCCATGTTGGATACTCCCTGGGTGGCGTGGACACGTGCAAGCACGCGGTTCCAACGCGGGGCCACCATGTTAGGTACCCACCTGGGACCACCATGTTAGATACCCGCCTGGGTGGCCTGCACACGAGAAAACACGTGGTTCCAACGCGGGACCACCATTTTAGATACCCCCTGGGTGGCCTGGACACGTGAAGACACGTGGTTCCAGCTCGGGACCACCATGTTATATACCCACCTGGGTGCCCTGGGCACGTGAAACGACGCGGTTCCAACTCAGGGCCACCATGTTAGATACCCGCTTGGGTGGCGTGCACACGTGAAAACACGTGGCCCCAGCGCGGGCCCTCTGGGCGACCTGGGCACGTGAGAACACGTGGTTCCAGCGCGGGACCACCATCTTAGACACCCCCTGGGTGGCCTCGACAGGTGAAACACGTGGTTCCAGCTCGGGACCAACATGTTAGATACCCACCTGGGTGGCCTGTACACATGAAAACACGTGGCCCCA